TTGGGAGTATATGCACTTTACACGCTTCTCCATATCTGGTGGAAAATTCTGGCACAGCAAAACGTTTTCCACGGTACAGTAAAACGCGCAACATATGGTACTTTAAAGTCCTCACACCAGTTGTATCTTTGAACTACTGCTTTTGTAAACAAATCCTCGAAGCCACAAAAGTCTCAGTCACGAAAAACATCTATGTCAGTACCATAAGCAACATTTTTTAGAATATATTCGAAGCATACTGTTTATGCGTGTTCCCAGCGCTCTCTGAGCTAAATACGAAAACTCTGATGTCATATCTCACAGCATGATATGCTAGCGAATGAAATATAATTTTTTTTTCACTGGCAAAGACACCAAGTTACTTATGTTTAAAAACAGACTAGCCGCTCTCCTCAGCTTAGAACATATAAATGTCATGTGATGCTGCCAAATACCATAGTGAAAAAGTACGCCTAAATATCTCAACGCCGAAAAACATTTCCTACTGCAGTACATTGCGTGAATGGCAATGCTTGGTGTGAAACAAAAAGTTGGCATATTCAAATTTTCTATTTTAGAGGACTCCCGAATGGATCAGTTTGGTTTCCTTTTGCTTAAAATTAAGCAGTTTTTCTCAAACCATAGCATGTCATTATGAATTGCACTCTGAAAAGCATTAATCGCTCTTTCATAACGTATGTGACGTATCATTAGCACCGTATCATCTGCATATTGATACACATTGGCTTTACAAATTCCTGAGGAAAGTCTTTCATAAATATATTGAATAACAATTGTGAGAACACTGATCCTTGTGACAGACCAGCTGTAATGCATTTTCTATTGCTTATTAGTTCCCTACCTCCCTTGACCAGCTGTGACCTGTCTTGTGGCAAATTATAGAGCACATCATGAAAAGGCCCCGTGAAATCCAAATGAAATAGCTTATCCAATAATAATAATAATAATAATAATAATAATATAATAATAATAATAATAATAATAATAATATAATAATGATAGAGGGTTAAAGTCCCAAACCAACATGACTATGAGAAACGCTGTAGTGGAGCACTCCGGAAACTTTGACCATGTGGTGTTCTTCAACATCCACTGACATCGCACACTGCACAAGCCTCTACAACTTCGTCTGCATCGAAATGCCACCGCCGCGGCTGGCATCGCATTCACCACATTAGGGCCAGCATCAGGGCACTGTAATACCACTGAAGACCACAGAGGGTACGCATAATTTGCATACCCGCCTCTTCAATTCTGTGCCTGTAGCCCCAGCGATACCCACGGGGCAAACTTGTGAATATGATTACTCCCCGTTTCCACTTCATCGTAAGTGCGTCGACTTCTCATCATCAGCAGCCACGGAAGAGGCCCACCCCTGAAATTTTTATTTATTTCTTTATTTCTTTATCACATACTGCGGACCAAGAATGGTCCATGCAGGAGAGGGCAATACAGTTCAAAATTCTTCTACATACATACACTTCCGCTGCAGTATACATTCTCTGCAGAACAAAATTCATGTACATTAAAAATTTGTGAAAAACAAGGGACAAATGCGGGCAAAGAAGCAGACATAAGCGACAAGAAAACGGTATAGTTTCATCTCGGCGTGTCGAGCATAGGGGAATCATGGGGCAAAGCATTCCAATCAGAGACAGTTCTCGGGAAAAATGAATACTTGTAAATGTTAGTGCGTGCAAATATAGGTGTAATGCTACGACTATGTTTATGACGTGAAGCCTTGGTTGAGTCCTGTGTTATGTAATCTGGTGCATGCAATCCTGATCTGGAAAAGTATAAAAGGCGGAAAAAGTTAAGCCGTGCAGTTTTCCTTCGATCGGCCAAAAGTTGGAGGTTCGAATCCTGCAACAGGGCTGACGGCGAATCGCGACATCTATACCGGTTGTATATAAATCGAGGTTGTATCTAAATCGGTTGTATATAAATCGTTGTATTTTTTCTATTTTCTGTATATTACCAGCTGTGTGGTGGTCCCACACAATGCTGGCATATTCAAGAGAAGGACGAACTATGACTTTATAGGCTCTAAGTTTTAGTGAACTAGAAGAACGACCCAATTTATATTTTAGAAAGTCTAATTTTCTCCTGGCAGCAGAACATATACCATCAATATGTGCTGTCCAGCTAAGCTTCGATGTAATCGTTACGCCCAAGTACTTGAATTCTTCTACTTGCCTGATAGCGTATCCACCTACATTACAAGTATACTCCAGTTTTGGGATTTTGTTACTCAGACATAAATATGCAGTTTTCTCAAGATTAATTACCATTTCCCACTTTTTACACCATTCTTTTATGCAGTTTAGGTTCTCACACAAGTCACGCTGGTCAGAGATAGAATTTATGGTATTAAAAATTATGCAATCGTCTGCAAGTAACTTAACAGACACGCCAGGTCGGATGGCTTGAACTAAATCGTTAATATAAAGATTAAATAGTATTGGCCCGAGAACTGACCCTTGCGGGACTCCAGATAACACCCCCAAATAACCAGAGGTGAAACCGTTTATATCTACGTACTGTTTTCTGTTCGTTAAGTATGCTATGACCAAGTTAATTATTTCCGGAGGAATGCCAATATCCTTCATTTTATCTATTAGCTTGATATGCGGGACCTTGTCAAAGGCCTTGGAAAAGTCCATAAAGATGACATCAACCTGTCCAGACTTGTCCAGAACTTTGGAGAACTCGTTAACAGTTGCTAATAATTGTGTGGTGGTAGATAATCCCCGTGGGAAGCCATGTTGCGTGCTGTGAATTACAATATTTTGTTCAAGAAAAGTATTTAAATATTTCGCTATAATATGTTCAAGTAATTTGCAACAAATACAGGTAAGGGAGATTGGTCGATAATTGCTGACTAATAATCTGTTACCTTTCTTAAATACCGGAATTACACGTGCTAGCAGCCAATCGTCGGGCACTGTACTAGTTTTAATCGAAACATCAAATATTATTACTAAGAATCTAGCTATAATTTCAGCATACCTCTTTAGAAAAACAGCTGGGATACCGTCAGGGCCGGTCGATTTTTTTACGTCTAGCCGCAATAATAGTTCTGTCACCCCTTCCAAGGATATATTTATTAGGCTTGAAGGACCTGGCATCGTCATAATACTCAAGTTTTGTGGTCTTGAGAAAACGCTCTGAAAGTAGGAATTAAATGCGTTTGCTATTTCGTTTTTATTTGTGACAGCGGTTTCTCCGTTCATTATTTTATCAGGGATACGGTTGTCTTTGTTTTGTAAGAACTGGTAAAATTTTTGTGGACACTCTGACGCAAAGCGGCCTAGTGTCTCGGTGTAATAATGTTCCATAGCCTCCTTCAACTTGGATGCTAAAGTATCTCTTAGATCGTGCAGAACTACATCATTAGCTATTTTTTGCTTTCTTCGCCTTTTAATTTTGCGTTTTAAGTGAATTAGATCGCGCGTTATCCAGGGGTTTGTACGGCCAACTTTTTTAAGTTTATCTGGAACGAAATCGCGAATGCAGAAGTGGCAATAAAATTTGAATCGTGTCCATAGCGAGTTAACACTGCCGTCGCAAAATGATAGCAAAGCTATCATTTTGCGACGGCAGTGTTAACTGTAAGAACGCTTGCGAACGCTTGTAAGAACGCTTGTAAGAACGCTTGCGTTCTTACAGTGCGGCAGGCGCACTGTAAGAACGCTTGCGAAAAGCACACCAGCATGGTTGCTCATGTGCTCTCTAGAGATTGCCAGCGTCCTAGAATTTTCTTTTTTGTCCAGCTAGAATTTTACGAGCGCATTGGGATACCATTCGCCTTGTCAGCCATGCTGTGGGAAATTATTGCTTCGTCACGTATCGAATTGCCTGAGTTTTTTTTTACTTGAAGGCACCTCCTTGGTTGGCTCTTGCACACTTTTTGGCCAGCATTCCACATGAACATAGCAAGAAAGTCTTCAACAATAAACACTGAATTTCGATGGGAATGAATTAGCGCAGAGCCTATGTTTTTCACTTCCATGTCATTCTTTATCGGCGGGATTTTCGTTTATGACTCTCAAGAGGCTTATCACTTATCTTAAAAATATTTGCACGTGTAGCCCCTAAACAAACCTTCGTTGATTAGATATAGAGCAAACTTTGCCAAGTCAGCTCTAGCACACGGCAATGTAGCGATTGGTCTCTCTCTCTCTCTCTGATTTATATTGGCTGTTGTTTTTGCAAGACAGTGAACTTTCGAAATACTCTTCATAGTGTCCCAACAAGTAGGGCGCTAAGCTGCTACGTACTGAGCCAGCCAATGAAATCCAGGCTACATTTTGATGCAAACGAGATAAATAAAACGCCATCGTAGTATCCATTCGATGCTTGAGGAGGGGCTTCTCAAATACATGATAGTTAATATGAAGTTTGTTATCTTAGCGCGGCAGAAATTTATATTCTTCTTTAGCACGTAGCGCCCAGGAGTATATTAATAAATAGTCTCTGATTTGACATCGAGTGAACGAAGGCTTCGCTGACTATTGCCGCCGCACCTAAATTTTGTTCACACTGCTGTCTTTGACTCAGCCTCTGCGAATGTCGTTGTACTAATTAAATAAAATATGAAAAAATATGTAGAGAAACTGTTTTCGTGTGACTTTCTGTGGTGCCCGAGTATTAAAAAGCATGCTTCAAAAGCAATGTACCGCATTATTAAGGCGTATGGGTGTCATTACTTTGGGACGAATGATACGTCACTTCGAATATCAGCCATGTATAGCTAATATATGTAGTATTTTATTACGCCTTGTATTAGTGAAGTAATCTCCAACAAAACATTGTCTCTGTCACTGCCTGTCACGAATGTTACAAGATGATGGAGTGACAAATAACGATAGAAGCAGAAGCGGTAGAGCACTTTCGGGAATATGATATCTTATATGTCGTTTCAGTTATGTGAAAACCTGCGTCGCCATTGAATCTCTAAGCGCAAAACTTCCGCGCTGTAGTTTGACTTCCTCACTCAC